TTGGACCCCAGAGTCTCAGAGCAGAACTGTGGCCATGCCTGAGGTCAGTCTCTGGGAGACCAAGGTCCAAAATAGATGGACTCATAGGACTGATCCCAGCTAGATGCCCCTCACGTGGGGCATGGCCTCACCCCAAGGTAAGCTGAAAGGGCCGTATTGACCAATTGTATCCATAGGCCTTATGGAGGCCTGGCCTATGACACATTCATCCCCTCTCCCTGCAGCCTTCCCCTCAGGCCTGCAGGGGCTCTACCCCACTGCCCTCTCCCCAGTCCTACCCCAAGCAAACAACATTGGTAGCCTCTGAGACCCACTCATGGCAGGTCACCAGCCTGACTCGGAGTGGGTCCTGTTCTTGGGAATGGAACTTTTCATTTTCTTTTCGCTCTTCCAAAGCCAGGGTTCCTGGCTACAGGCCAAGCACTGAGCGCCTGCATGGGGCCCTCCAGATGCCAGAGAAATGACTAGCAGCAATCAGCACTGCAGCCCGCACTTGCAGGAAAGGCCTAGGTGTCACTGGGTGGGTGAGGAGTCATCCCCAACCTGAAGGGGGTGAAGCCTGGAGCTGAAGAGCAAGGACCCAGGAAGGGGTGAAATAGCATCTGTTACCGGTGGAAGAGTAGTCCCCACAGGGGGGAGATCGAGGACCATGAATGACGATGGGGCTGAAGGGCCAGGCACACACCACACTGAGAGGGGGCTGCTGTCCTGTCCTCAGAACTTGGACCACGGGCATCTTTGGGAGCCCAGGGGATGGGACTCGCGAGTCTCCCAGCTGGCACCACATGGGCTGTTCCAGGGGAGCAAAGCACCAAGCAGTTGCCACAATGAAGTGGGGGCCATAAATGGAGGGCCCTTACTGGACTGAATAGTGTTCCCTAAACTCAAGTGCACCTGAACATCAGAGTGTCACTTTATGTGGAGATCAGAGTTTTGCAGATGTGATCAAGTTAAGGGTCAAAAGTCAGGCTAGAGCGGGGTGAGCCCTGATCTATTGACTGTGTCCTTGTAAGATGAGGGAGACGTGGCTACAGGCACTCAGGGGAACGGCTGAGTGACCACGGGGCAAAGGTTGGAGGGATGCAGCTATAAGCTAAGGAATGCCAAGTGTTGCCAGCTGATGACCCCAGACTTCAGGAGAGAGGCATGGGACTGATTCCCCCTAAAGCCTCCGGAAGGAACCAGCCCTGATGACCCTGGATTTTGGACTTCTGGCCTCCAGACTGTGAGAGGATCCCTCTCTGTTGTCCTCAGCTGCCCTGTTTGTGGCGATTGGTTACGGCAGCCCCAGGATACTCGTGCAAAATCACGGGACTGGGCCACGCAGGAGGGGGGCCGGGGAGGGAGGGGGTTGGCAGGGGCAGACCCTCTGGGATCCTGCTTGTAGTTGTAACCCATCGAAGAAGCACAGTGAGGAAACCCACCGCCACCCCAGACAATTTCCACAAGGCTGGGGGGGCTACTAAGCCCCCCAAAGGAAGGCGTGGAAGCCAAAAAAGGAACCAGAGAAGGTGCTCTCTCAGTCTGGACCCTGGGGACAAAGCCCTGGGGGCGGGGGGTGGGGAACCGGAGTTCAATTGTAGCTCTGGAATGGGCAAAGGCTCAGAGGTTCCCACTAGCATGAGCCCCACACCTGGGCCCTGGCTGGAGATCCCTGGCCTCCCTCCCTTGGCCTTCTCAGATGCTGCTGCTGGCCCAGAGTCCCGTTCACTCAGACACTGCACAAGCAGGATGTCCTCTAGAGAAGGCTACTCCAGAAGTCAAAATAGCATGAAATTTAATTTTCCACCTATTTGACAAGGCTTGGTTGGGCCCCAATCAGCAGCAGAGATAAGGGTCCTCTGCCGAGTGTGAGCCAGCTGGGCGCTCTGCAAACACTCTACGGTCCCCAGGCAGGCTGAGGCTCCCCCCGCCAGGCTCTGGTTGCCCGGCGCTAAAGCAAACGGACTCTATTTGCCCAGTCTGTGATGACAATGCAGTCACCAAATATTTGCCAGTCCAGCCGGCTGCGGAGCCTGGCTATAAATGCTTGAGCCCAGGTGGAGGTGGGCCTGCCCAGCAGAGCTGGAGACCTCACAGGTAGGAGCCGGGTTGGGTGGCGGTCAGGGAGGGTGCTGGCAATGGGGTCTAGCCTCCTCCCCTCCTGGGAAGGCTGTGGGCCCTTCTGCCCAGGCAGTCTTTAGGGATCCACTGGGAGGGGTCACCAGCAGGGCTGGGCAGGGCCGGGCTATTGAGACCAGCGACAGGAAAGTCTTGGCTCCCCATGAGCGACCACCCCTACAACCCACCACTGGGGCCACTAGACACCCCTGCATGGAAGAAGGGCCCCAGCATTGTGAACGAGATTCGGAGTACAGCATAGTGGGGGGCTGCAGGGAGGAGGGGAGGCCTGTGCACTCCCCAGCTCTGCCTGACTCTGAGTGATGCCTGTGGACTTGCCAGGCCCCCTAGGGGGTGTTTTCTGACAAGCTAGGAGCTCCCTCTCCCTCCGTCCACACCACCTTCCCTTCCTTTCTCCCTCTTCCCTAGGCTCACCCACCTGCATCCCAGCTGCGAAGGGGCATGCGGGATGTGTCCTGGGGTGGGGGACACTCCGGCATTCAGAATCAGCCCTCACTTGGCTGTGGGCCAAGGGGAGAACCAGCTGAACCATTGACAGAGTCCTCCCCAAATCCCCTCCTTGCCCTCCTGAGTCCCATCCCCACAGGCCTCTCTCATTCACCCCTCACTCCCCTGACAGGTAACAACAACAAAAAGCCTGGGACGGTGGCTGCACTTATTAGAATTAGACAGGATGAGAGAATACCTGGCCCTGAAGTCCTCCAAAGCTACAAAAGTTCTAGGTCTCGAGGCAGCCAGACCTAGCTCCTGGGTTCAGCATGGGCGTCTCAGGGATGGTGGGAAGCTCCCAACCCGAGACTCCTGTGAGGGGGCCAAAGGCTCCCCAACCAGTGAGCCTGTTTATTACGAGCCATAGCAACCCCCACACTGGGACAAGAGCTCTGCTCTTTAGGGCCCCCACCCCACTCATGTCCCAGCCCCTGGGCGGCTTGGCTTCCCACCTCCCCTGCTTCTTTCTCCTGTGACTTCTCTTCCCCAGTGGATTATCCCAGAGGCACCACTCCACCATGCACCCTCCCTCCCTGCTGACCGTTCTCCCTACAAGACAGGATACACTGCTTGTAGGGCCGGTGGCCATTCCACAGGCCACTGGCTGTTCTAAACCCCTCAGTCTGTACTCTGCAGGCTCTCCCCCACCCGACTCCTGCCATGCCCGCTGCCATGGTGCCTTACAGCCCTCAGTCTCTCTCCAAATCTCACCTACTTCTGAGGTTGGCACTCTCTCTAAGGACAAGTGGCCATATAAGCCTGCAGTGGCCAGTTCTGCCAGGAGGGCTTTGGGCCCTGACTGATAACCTGTCTCCTCTCCACCTCCCTCTCCAGTGGGTGTCTGCTGTCCCAGAGGCCCCAGAAGCTCTGACGTGGAGGAGATGGCCACAGGTGTGATTCGGCCTCTCTGTGACTTCCGGCTGCCCCTACCATCCTTTGGGCCCTTCCTGCCTTCAGACCAGGAGCCCCCAGACACTTCTGAGGAAGAGGAGGAGGGAGAGGAAGAAGAGGATGAGGAGGAGGAACTGGAGGGTGAGGAGTCAGGGGGCCATAGTCCAGCTCCCCAGAGCTCAGATTGGGCCATGGCTGGCCCAGAAGAGGCCCCTCTAGGTCCGAGCAGCCCCGAGATGCCACTGCAGCTGCTGCGGTTCTCTGAGCTCATCAGCGGCGACATCCAGAAGTATTTTGGTCGCAAGGAGAAGGGGCAGGACCCAGATGCTTGCGACATCTACAGCGATAGCCACCTGGCCAGCAGCTCAGCCAGGGAGCTCTACTGCGCAGACCTGATGCGTCTGGCCCAAGGTGGGTCCCCAGATGACAACGAAGCTTCCAAGCCCGGGGTCCACTTGCCCAGGGGTCCTGAGAGGCAGGTGTGTGGGACAGGCCTTGGAGGGGACAGTGCACAGCCACTAGGGCCCTTGGCTGAACTGTTCGACTATGGGCTGCGACAGTTTTCAGGGCCCAGGTCGTCAGCCGGCCGCCGGGTAAGGCTGGAGCAGAAGTATGGCCACATCACCCCCATGACCCAGAGAAAACTGCCCCCCTCTTTCTGGAAGGAGCCAGCACCCAGCCCCCTGGGCCTGCTGCACCCTGGCACACCGGACTTCAGTGACCTGCTGGCCAGTTGGTCAGCAGAGGCTGGCCCTGAGCTGCCAGGTGGGGGCGCCCAGACCTTGGAGGGGGGGCAGCTGGCCGAGGCCTAGTGACAGGGCAAGGGTCAGTGGGGGTGAGCGGGGGCAGCAGTGCTCTGGACTATCCTTATAGCTTGTCCTGGGAAGAGCCTGAGGGCCCTCCAATGTGGGTGGCCACCAGGAGGACAAACCAGCTCAAATGGGAACTTTCCAGGCCCGAGATGGGGAGGACAGGGCAGGTGCTGCTGCCCCTCAGAGGCCGTGGGCTCTAGGAGTCTATACTGTGCCCACCCAGGCCAACCCCTAAGATTCCCAAGGGCAGCCCTCCCATTGCCCGCCCACCAGCTGGTCCCAGGTGGCCCCTCCTCAAGGCCCCCAAGCAGGTGGGCGGGCCAGCCACCCAGATGAGCCAAGTGTTTTCTTGGAGAAGCAGGAGGAGGGGTTGCTGCTGAGTGTATGAGCAAATACACTGTTTGCTTCCTCGATTAGGGCAGGAAGAGCTGTTTCTCTGGCAGGGCACCCCTCAGGTGTGAAGAACAAGGTTGGCAGCCATGGATCCTGAGACTAGCCTGGCCTGGCTCTTGCGGGGGCCCCAGCCAGGAGTGGGTGGGTGGGGGTCCCAAGCCATTATGCCTGTTGGCAGGAAGCCCCAGGAAAAAGGTTGGACCTGGGGCTCTTCTGGGCTTGGGCAAGAGAAGAGAATTCTGGGAGTCTAGGGACAGGTCCTCTTGGTCACTCCCACTGCCCAGGCCTCCCAACTCCCTGGAAGGAACTCCAGGTTCTGATGGGTACAGAAACTGGCACATTTATTTCTGGAAAAGGGGCAAGGATATGATCTGGTGGGCAGGCTCCTGGCCGAGGGACCTCTCCAAGACTGCTCTTGGCTTCTGCTGGACCATCAGATTCATGAGGATCGCCTTCCACTGAAGCCACCTGTCCGGAGACACAGCTCATGGCTCACTGACCTCAGGACCTGTCCCAGCCCTGAACCCAGACCCGGAGGGGTCTCCAGAAGGCAGCTCCCCACTGCTCACTTCAAGGCCTGATATACGCCCCAGCGGTTCACAGGGACCACCTCGTCAGGGGCCACATCCTTGATGAAGAACTGCTGTCTCACCAGGGACATGAGGACCTTTCTGCTGCCTAGCGTCAGGGCCCATGGGCCCTCTTCACTCCACAGGCGCATCAGGCTCTCCCTCAGGGTGGCCATCTCCTCCATGCGCTAGGACAGAGGCCGGCGTATGTGGGGGAGGGACTGATGTGGGAATGTAGGAATAGGACTGAGGGGGTGGGACAGCAGACGGGATTATCTCCCTCTGGGCAAACCAGGGCCTTATCTGCCTGGAAACGCTGCCCAGGACAGACACGCAGACCGACAGATGGACAGCTGAGGAGACCGAAAGCTAGAGGGGTAGGGAGGCTGGAAGAGGCAAGGGGGGCTGGGAGTCAGGCTCTGTACAGAGAAAGTGACCCATCCTCTGGGCCTGGGAGCCCCTAGAGCCTTTGGTGTAAGGGCCTGTCCCACCGGTCCAAGGCCACCTCTCACCAGCTTGGTTTCCGAATTAAACTTGAGGTTTTGGATGGTCTTGTTGTCCTGGACGTTGTTTTCCAGTTTCATTATTTGGTTCTGAAACTAAACACGCCCCCCGCCCTAGTTCATGGGCATAGAAGCAGCTCCTACCCCAATACCCCGGGGCAGGAACTGGCCTCTGACACTAGGGTCCTCTCCCCTCAATGGGACCTGGGGGCATCACTGAACCCAGTGATCAGGTAGGATTTGGCCAGTGCTTAGGATCGCTCTTCTCATCATGATTGCTGATGCCTCCAGCATTTGGGGCTCCAACAGTGCCCCCACTTGGAACTTCCTTTCAAAGGCTGAGATATGGGGAGCCCCCGCCAGCAGGACGGCTGGTTCTGTGAACCTTCCCGGGGACCCCTCTGCAGGGGCTGCCCGCTGTCTGAACCAGATGGCCTCCCCTTCTATTGAGCATGACAGACACAAGGGTGCGAGGGGGGTACCGTGGCCAGCTTGCCCTGGATTTCGGCAATCTTCCGCCCAGGGTTGCCCTCCCTGAGCAGATGCACAGATGACAGCAGCGCAGCCAGCTCCTGCCGCATGGCCCCAACCTCGAACTCTCTGTGGGCACAGGAGGCTGAGGCTGCCAGGCTCTGGGGGAAGTGCCTGGGGGTGGGGGGCAGGGGAGGTAGAAGGAGAAGGCCCTGGGTAGAGCAAGGGGCACTCCACTTTACCACCCCTCCAGTGGGGGTTCCCAGCAGATGACAGAGGGACAGCCTTGGAGATCCGTTCAGGCTGCCCCCAACAGGGGCCAAGACAGGGCTGAGGAAGGGCTGAGGCTGCCATAGGTACCAGGAGCTCGTGGAAGAGTGCCCGTGAGAAGCTTTGTTGGTACGGCAAGGTGGTTCTGAGATAGCTGTACCTTCTCAGGGTGGGGACCAGCTCAGCCCCTGATGGTCAGCTCACTGGAGCCCGCTCCCCTCCCCAGGGCTCACAGTCCTGCCTGGCTGAGGCTGGGAGGCAGGCCTCACCTGGCTTTGCCCTCAGCAGAAATCTTGAGGTCTGAGTCACTTTTATGCAAGATGCATCTGTCAGAGACAGCTTCTATCTGAAACGGAACCAGGGTTGGGGGCGGGTCGGTAGCTAAGGGCAGCAGGGAGGAAAGGTGCGCTCTTGGCCCCTCACCCACCTGCCGAGGCAGGCTGTCCACTGTCTCCTGCACCTCCCGCAGGTGCGCCTGAGCCTCCTTTCGACACTGTGCCAGGCCCTCCAGCGATCTCCGCTCCGCACCTTCCCACTCACTCTTTGCCTGGGAAAAGGATACCCAGTGAGGCCAGAGCCCAGACAGCGACGGTGGACAGACAGACAGACTGGGCACACCTGATTCACAGCATGTGCACACAGGCCACACACAGCCCAGGACAGCCACATACACTCCGGGGACCCAGGTCCTCCTGGGCACGGCCACTAGGCTGAGCAGAGACACATCTCTAAGAAGCAGGCCTGGCTTAGCCCTCTCCCCCCACCAACCCCAGCTGTCCACCAGGAGTTAGTAGGGACAGGGACAGAAAACAGATGGCCTGCCCACACCTGCAAGAGAGGGAATACAGGGCAGGCCCAGAGAACCTGGCCCCAAAGCCAAAGGCTAAACATGTTCACAACAGTGCCATCCACATCGCCAAAAAGGGCAGCAGCCCAGTGTCCATCGGCTGACGAATGAATAAACAAACTGTAGTCCATCACATAGTGGAACAGTACTCAGCCACGAAAAGGGATGGAGCACTGACACATGTTATAACACAGATGGACCTCAAAAAACGTCATACTCAGTGAGAGAAGCCAGACACAGAAGGTCACATAGTATGTGACCCCATTTCTATGAAATGTCCAGAACAGGCAAATCCAGAGATAGACAGCAGATAGTAGGTGCCAAGGGCTGGGGGGAGGGGGATGAGGAATGACTGCTAATTGGGACAAGATCTCCTTTTGGGATGATGAAACATTCTAAAAGTGATTGTAGTTGTGGTTGTACAACTCTGAATATATGAAAAACCACTGAATTATATACGTTAAAGGGATGAATTATATGGTATGTGAATTAAGCCTCAATATGCTGTTACAAAAAAAGAGAAAAAATAAGCCGCCTTGGAGCCCCCTGTGTGGTTGGGTCTCTGGGGCCTGTGAACATCTCAGTAGCTGAACCTGGGCCACTCTGCCCTGAACAGAAGGTCTCTGCAGCTCAGGGCCCCATAGGCCTTGTGGACAGTCATTGGGTGGGCTTGAGACCCATGTGTCAGGCCTCTACCCTCAGGGAGCCAGAAGAGTACCAGGACCCCACCTGTCTAGGCTGCGATTCCCCCACGTAGCACTGCAGCCTTACCTCATGCAGCCTCTGGATCAGCGTCTGTTCCTGTAGGTCCAGCCTCCAGCTCAGGGCCAACAAGTGGTCACTCAGGTCCTTCACCTGTCTGACCAGCTCAGCCACGGACACCTCCAGGGCCTGGCTCTTCTCTCGGAGCTGTGGGAGGCTGAGCTGAGTGTGGGTGCCTATGTAGGTGGGACCCCCCTCCCCCTGCCCGCAAGAGACCTGACTAGGCCTCTGTTGTCCTCACCAGCTCCAGTGCGCTGTGCATCTCCTGCCGGGCCATCTCGCCAGCCAGCTGCACAGCCTCCAGGTTCTCCTGCAGGTAGGCGGTCAGCTCCCCAGCCTGGCTCTCCTCCAAGTGGCCCTTGGCATCCCTAGGGATTGGAGCCACTGAGAGGGACTATCTCTCAGTCCTCAGAGCTGGGCCAGGGAGGGGAACCTGGCTACTGGCTCCAGAACCTTCCAAGAGACCCCAGGGAGCAGTAGAGGGAGTGTCATCACAGGAGCCACCAAGATGGAGCTGTGTCTATCATTGCCGTACAGAGTTCTCTCATGAGGGGCAGGCTAGAAGCGGGCAGCTACTCTATCCTGGGGGCCCCACTCGGTTAAGCACTGGGCTCAGGGTCTGGCAAGAGGGGCCATTCTCATCCACCTGGCCTGACAACTCCCATTCCCTGGCCGTGGCCTCATTCAGATACCTACCGGGCCTTCTGCTCAGCCAGTAGGACACGGTTCAGTGACACCTGGTTCTGGCGCACAAACTTGGTCAGCTGGACCACAGCCCTGTCCAGGCCCCAGCACTGCTCTAAGAGGTGGGACTCTTCCTGCTGTGGTACAGAGGTGGCCCTGAGACCCATGTCTCCTCCCTCAGGTGCCCAGTCCATGCCCCACCTGCACTGCTCACCTTGCACTGCCCCCGCAGGGCCCGCACTCGCTCCTCTGCCAGCTCCTGGAGCTTCTGCCACCTATTCTCCAGCTCCTCCCGCAGGCTGCTCTCTGCCTTTAGCCGCGTGCTCTCTGAGGACTTCATTCTCTGCAAAAGACCCCACTGGTCACGGCGAGCCAGGTGAGCGGGGGTCACGGTAGAGCCCCATTGGCCAGTAGGCTCCCACCTTCTCCAGGGCCAGGAAGCTCTTCTGCAGGAAGCCGCACAGCTTGGCCTCCCTCTTGAGGAAGCGGAGGCTCATCTCCTCGCCAAGCTTGGTCACCTGAGCCTGTGAAGGGTGGGGGCCACATGGTCATCATGCTGCCACCTGTGCTGGGCATCCTCCTCCCATAGCTGCCCCCTGCCCACAGTGCCATCAAGGACTCCTTTTCTTGCCCAAACGTCTTCATCAGAGGGGGCTCTGGGTTCTATGTCCCTAGCTATCTGGGAGCCTAGCAGAGTTGGGCCCACCACATTCTCAGGAGGAAGGCAGGGCAGGCAAGGGCCACATGTGTCCCCAGAGGGTCAGGCACAATGATTGTGAAGGGTCTGCAAACCAAGCTCACGTAGGTTCGGAATATACTTGGTGCCCACAGTAGTGACCACCAGATACTACCCAGGGAAGGAGGCATGGCAGCCACCAAATCACACCCCAAGTTTGGAGTCTCAGGAAGGGAGGCTGAGTGTATGCATGAGCACATATTTGTGCACTCATTCATGCACACATGTGCAAACACACACACATGCACACTCATGTACACGAGGGCACACATAAACATAGCACACTCATGCACACATGCAGTGTACAACCATGTGCACATACATGCTTACGTGTGCACATATAAACACATTGCACACATGCACGTGTGCACACACATGCAGTCATGCAGACACACCCTTTACCCTTGACCTCCAGGCCTGAATGGGGCCCTTTCCCTGCTCTCTCTCCCTTCCTGCTATATCAAGGGTCTCAGGGTATAGGAGACAGGGGAGTTAAGGCCCAGCTCAGCTCTCTCTCCCAGCCTCACACACCCATGGAGCATGCAGGGTTCTGGCTGGAGGCACCTTCTCTGAGGCCAAAGAGCCCTCTGGAAGAGCTCCTATAGCCCACAAGGCAGGTGTGCCCCAGCCCCTGTCAGCCTCCCCGCCCCATGCATGGTGATCTGGAACAGGGCTGGGCAAACTTTCTGTAAAGAGCCAGAGTGTAGATATTTCAGGTTTATGGATCATAGAGCCTATGCCACAGCTCCTCAGCTCTGTGGTTCTAGCATAAAAGCAGCCATGGACAATAGTAAACAAGTAGGAGTGGCTGTGTGCCAATAAAACTTTATTTAAAAAAACAGGCAATGGGCTGCAACTTGCTGACCCTGACCCTAGAGTGTACCTCGGGAAGAGGCAGGTGCCCCATAAAGTGCCTGGCACCTCGAGAATCCCTGGGCCCAATGCCTCTGGAGCTCCTGGCTGGTGGGCACCAAGCAGCCTCTCAAGGGAACCGAGAAAATAACTTCCCAAAGGGCAGCAAGAGAGAACGCCACCAAAGCTGGGCAGCTGAGCTATGTGGGCAGCAGCTGGGGCCTCCCTTGTGTGCAGCTCAGTCCCTGGTCTCTATTTGCAGAGCTGAAGAGGCTGCCTGGTCCCCTGCCCCACCTTCTAAGGCCACATGCAGGAGGGGAAACCACACCAGCCTAGGAGTAGGACCACTGGGACACATGTCTTCAGGAAGGTAACTTCCACTTCACATGGAGAGAAGCACCAAGGTCAAAAATGGCAAAGGAAGAAGCTTTAGGCTACGATATTCTATTTCTTGATCTGGATGCTGGTTACACGGGAGGGGGAAGAGGAGGAGCAGCCCCTGAGAGAGTGCTAACAACAGAACTTTCTTTGATTAAGAAGGTGCTCTGTCTTGGTGCCACCCCACACATGGCCATTTAGGATTTGAAAAGCGGTTGATGTGACGGAGGAACTGAGTTTTCAATTGTCTAACACGATAGCTAATTTCAATATATAGAGCCACCTGTGGCTCGTGGCCACTATATTAGATAGCCCAGGATTCGGGGGTTGCCCCCAGGTCTGATTACATGGACAGAACTAAAACAAAAGCTGGAGCAAGGGAAGAACCACAACAGGAAGGACATGGGCTGGGCTGGACTGGCAGTGCTGGGGTCTCTTCTGTATGGACCCTCTTGTCAGCAGCTCAGCTGGCAGCCCAGATGCAAGGGCCCTGCCTAGGTACCTGCATCCTGGCCACCTCATAGTCCACCCTCTGGCTGGCCTCCTCTTGGCTCTTCTGCAGGGCACTGCAGGCCACCTGCCGGTCCTGCTCCTCCTGCTCCAGCTTCCCAGCCAGCTTGGTTAACCTGTGGGCACCGGCCAAAGGTCACAACAGCTCAGCCCATGGAGGGTCAGGCTTGGGAGCCACAGGGAGGCTAGTGGGGTCTCTGGACTTTGAGAGTCCTTCTCAGGCCAAGGCTGGCATCTGGGGGTTCTAGGCTGAGCTACAGGTCTGTGGAGAAGAAGGTACACAGCCTTCCTGGGTAAACAGAGGAGGTAAGATGTTGGCTTCCCTGTCTCTACCTGGGAGGATAAGAGCTGGGCCCCAGTGAGGCTGACCTATGGGAAAGGTGGGGACCTCTATATTCAAGTCTCTTTTTCCCACAGAGGGTCCACAGGGGTCTCAGTCTCGCCCATCAACCAGCAGCTTGGCACTGAGGGCAGGAGGATACCTGCCCTGCCTTGGTGACGCCCACACAATCATACATAGAAGGCCCAGAGCCAGCCCCTGGGAAGGAGGCAGGAAGAGCCCACCTGAGGTTGGCTTCCTGCTCGGTGCCCTTCCGTTCAGAGTCCTGGAGCGCCTGCTTCCTCCTGATCTGGGTCAGGGACTCTCGGACCTCCACCAGCCTGGCACACAAGAGCCACTTCTGCCAGGGGCCTGCCCAGGTCACCCTTCTGGTGGCCTGGAGAAGCCCGGAGCAATCTGGGCAGACTTCAGGGGTTATGAGTCCAGCCAAGGGGCCCCAGCAGCAAGCCTCCTGCCCCTTTCCCAGGCTTCTGCTCATGTAAACCCAGACCTTTTGAGTTGGACCATGGGTGTGTACTGCTTACCTGAGCAGGACAACTCATTGGGAAAACAAAATCCTGTAGCTGATGTCCCAGTAGGTCCAGCGCCAGTCACTGCTCTCCCAAAGCCCCCTTCCCTCCCACTCAGCCTTGTGCCACAAGTGTGAGGATACCTCTTGTCCAGGGCCTGCATCTGGTTCTGGTTCTGGGGACTGGGGAACTGCAAGGAGGAGGGTATGGGCTAAGTGCAGGCCTGGGGCCCTCACAGCCCAACCGGCACAGACATAGCCTATGGAGATTCTCTGGGCTCCCAGCCTGGGCAGCAGGGGCTGAGCTGGGCTCAGAGTCCAGGAAACATCATCAGCCCTGACACCCAGGAATGGGGAGGCCTGGCCTGTGGGTGGGGACAATCTGCCTCCCAACCGATGGTGGCTCACCTCCAGGATCTCCTTCTCAGGGGCCCAAGCTGCCTGTTGCATCTCCTGTCGCAGCTGCTTCAGCTCTGAGTCTTGCAGCTGCACACTGGCCTGCACCTGGCACAGTTCCTGCAGCAGCCTCAGTGTGGTGCACTCACAGCGGTCCTTGTGTTCTTGCAGGGACACCACCTGGGTCTGCATGTTGACCAACCTGGCCGGGGTGAGGAGTAGGCTGAGTCAGCATGCATGCCATGGGCCTGACAAGGGTCAAAAGTCAGGCTAGAGCGATGGGGCTCTCCTGCCCTGCTTTTCATGGGGCTCACCATTGCTCCAGTTGCTTCCAGTGCTTGGGGGTGTCCTGCTCCAGAACAGAGGCGGTAGACGCCAGGTGGCTGGACTCATACCTCTCTGAGATCTCATCCAGACTCAGGGGTTCAGGGCTGGCCGGCCCTTCTTCTAGGAAGAACCCCAGGTCCTCCAGGGTGATGGTACTCAGCTGGGATGGGGGCGAGGCCCCTGATGAGGGGTCACTATTAGCCAGCTCTGCAAGAAGGCACCTTTGAGCTCACCACTTGTTCTGGGCTAACAAGAGGTGCTGGCTCTCAGATGGCGCTTAGATAACAGTACCCAAATCAGTGCAACTGTCACTGGCTGTGCTCATTAAGCTTACTGCAACTCATTCTGCCGAATCACACAGACTGGCCCAGGGAAGGCTCAGCCCTTTTATGTCAGGTTCAGAGAGGTCCAGCCTCAGCCTGAGAACACACAGCACCGGGCAGCAGAAACTAGACAAAGCCCTGCCTGGCCAACTCCAAAAGGAGCCCTCAGGCTGTGAAGTGACCTGGGAATCAGGAAGCAGAGCTGTCTGTTGGGGTCCACGCCCCATGCAGGCCCCTCCCTGCACTGTCCTCCCAGCTCTGGCCCCAGTCAGCACCTAGCTCACCTGGGCTTCACCAGCAGTCTTTGTCTTTGGCCACTGCCAAGAGGCCCTGGGCCTAGAAACCAGTGACTGCCCAGAGCTGGACACCAGGGTGGATGGAGGTGAAGGATGGCTGGAGGGAGGCAGGGAAGTCAGAGCTAGAAGGCTCTAGGGCCTTGGGGGAGCACGTGAGCTCCTTTCCTCATATCTCACCTCCTTCCAAGACAACACCAAGGTGGGCAAGACAGCTGGGCTCTTCTGGAACCTTGTGACTTCATGACCCAACTGCCGGTGGAACCTGAGCCCTCAGCTCCCCCATTCCTGCAAGGCCTCCCCAACTGCCCATTTCTGGAAGGATTGAGTGGGCACTGTTCAACCAGCCAGAGGTTGGGGTCAGGAGGCCTCTGACTCGGGTGGCAGAGATACGCAGGAGCAACTACTGGCCATCTGGGATCTCCAGATGGGCTGAAAACAGGTAGTCCCACACCTGAGAGAACAGAGGCCCTGAAGGACCATCTGAAAGAGGGCGCTGCCACTGGTGTGGGCTGCACCAGTGACATCAACTTTCCTATCAGCCACAGTAAGTAGAGACAGATGAAATGAATTTCAATAGTCTATTTTATTTAACCCAGTATATCTAAAATATCATTTCGACATGGACTCAATACAAAGAAGTGAGTGAGATGCTGTACCTGCTTTCTCCACACTGAGTCTTTGAAGGCCAGTGCATTATGTTTTATGTCTCATTTCGAGCCAGTGGGGACACTCCAGTCCTGTGTCCTCCCCATGTGTCACCCAGACCCCCCCACCAAGGGCTGGCTGGGGGCTTCCCTGTGACAAGATGAACGCTTCAGTCACACCCTTGTCCCGGGGTAGTGACACCACATGCCATCTGAACAGGTCAGGGAGATAGACCAACATGCGGAGCTGCGTGCAGACGGAGGGGCCCCTGGGGAGAAGTCTTTCCTGCCGAGCTCTATGGCTGCCCCAGGAGCAATGCTGCTTGGGTATCCAATGAGGGGGCAGTGGTTGGTGCCCACAAGGCCCCTTCCTGTGGTATGTGTTGACAGCCATAGCTGTACACCATCTGCAGGTTTCTGTGCCGTCCTCCTAGGGGTGTCCACACTGGGGTGCTGCCCACCTATACCACACATTGAAGAGGGCCCCAGCCCAGATGCCCCAGCCCCAGTGGCCCCGTAATCCCAGACTGGTCCGTGCTGAGCAGGAACAAGAAGCTGGTGCTGGCTGTCTGGGTTCAATTCCTTTATTTCTCCCATTCAGAACCCCACATTCAGACCTCTGCTCACCCCACGGAGGGCTCCCCACCAGGACAGGACTGGCGGTTGATGATGGCCCCATCCCCCTTGAAAGGGGCTCTAATCAAGGCGCAGTGCCCACTAGCTCACTACAAAAGCAACTGCATCGCCTCAACACAGAAAGGGACTGGGGACTCAGAAATCACCTGTAAAAGAGGTCCTGTAAGACCAGCTTTGCCTAGCCTGGGAGGGACACAGTGTCCTTGCCCTGGGCTCACCAACCCATCCCCACAGCCCACCCACCACCAGGGCTGGAACCAGATATTCCCCAGAACATCGCCATGGGCCAGGAATCCTCAGAGGCCAGTGGCCTGTCCCTCCCTGATCTAAGACCCGCCTTCCCAGCTGGTGTCCACATGGTGGCAACAGCTGTTTGCCTGGACTCCAGCTCTGGAGGGCTTGGGGGTTCAGCCTCACAGGTGGTTCTCAGCTCTCCTTTGGCCAAGACTCCAGCACAGAGCCCGTCGCAACCTGAGTGGGGGTACGGCCCACAGGGCGTACGCACGTGGTGAGTCTGAGAGAATAACCAGAGTCCGCTTTCCAGGGCTGTCCTGCTGCTCCAAACTCTCGCCTCCATGTGTCCAGCTGGGCCTTTGCCCAGGCAAGTCCCTGCTGCACTGGTCCATCATCTCATGGCCACAGAATGAGCCAAAGGGGACAAGGCCAAAGGCCTCTCCTGCAGCCTCACATCACCCAGATCTCTAGCTGGCAGTGCACAGGTGGCGTGGTCCTTCTGGGCTGGCACCCAGGGTAACGAGGAACAGAGAAGCAGCAAAGGAGTCCTTCCCTGGGGGCCTGTTGCACTTGGACCCCTGGGGCCCAGTTCGCTCGCTTTCTTACACACGTGAACACAGACACACACCGAGATGCACAGGAACACGCACCTTCTCATGGCTCTCAGGAAGAGAGCACTTGTAAAAATGTCTGATCCCTGAAGGTGAAGAAAATAGCAGGATGAAGAGTGACATCCAAGGAATTAAGTAAGGCAAGGGGGAGTGTGGAGAATGTCAACAAGGTGCCCACGAGATGGTCATGTTCACATGCCAGCCGGGCCATCCCCAAGGTCTGGAGGACACTGTATCTGCCGCTGCCCGAGGAGTGAGGTGGGGACCTCAGGTTAGATGCCAGGGCTTCACGTCTGGGCCAGTGAGAGCTCCTCCAGGCCCCCCTTCCCAAGCCGGTACCTGGCCAGGTCCTTCCTGGTCACCAGCCCGACCACCTGTGGGAAGAAAGCCAGGTAACAGGAGTCTGTATAAGCCTCCACCTCTGTAGAAATGAGTGGGGGAGCAGCAAAATTTGGGGAGGACCTGGAGGTGGGCACATGGTCAGTCTGGGTCCTGGGCCTCAAAGTCCCCTCCAGGAGCTGAGAACAAGTGTGCACCTGTAACCACGGCAGGCAGGTTGGGAAGCAGAGGGACTCTCTGCCCTCCTCAGCCACTCACCTGATTGTGGTTGTCCACGACCACCAGATGCCTGAGGCCCAGGGCCCGGAACAGCTTGAATACCCTCGGGAGAGACGCTTCCTGCAATGTGGGCATGGCCTCAACTCACCTGCAGCCCAGACTACCCCCATCCAGTAAGAGGCAGGACCCACCAAGCTTGGAGTCCGCTGTCTCCCATAACACCTGCTGCTGCCTTTCTCCTCCACGCCAGCTAACCCTGTCTCAGTTGTGTTGCTGATTCTGGCTCCAAGGCCACCCCCACCTATCCCCCACCCCCCAATGCTCATCCTGGGTGTGAAGATGGAGTCCCTCTCCCTCTTCTGCTGACCCCATCCCAGCTCCTTCCTGGCTAGCCAATGAAGGTCATCTTGAGACCCTGTAAGTGGACATCAAGCTCCTTCTGCCACCCCACAGCTCCTGGCGGGTACCTGGGGCACTGTGTAGGGGGAGGGGTTCATGAATTCGGAGAGGTCCATGGTGCACTCTCGCTCATCCTGGGACACATGGATGGACTGGATTGGGGGAAAGCGCGGGTAGGCATCCCGGAAGTCCTTTAGCCTCAGCCGCCGTTGTACCAGACCTCTGTTGGACCGCTCAACGAACACCTGTGGGCAGCAGGTAGCAGGCACCGGGCAGGGTGCATCAGAACTCCACAGCAACTAGCCCAGTGTCTCCCACCACCTGGAGGTGCCTGAGGCTGAAGGGCCTACCTTGTGCTTCAGGAGGACAATCAGCTGGGAGCGCAGGATCAGACCCTGGAGCCGGGCCAACTGCAGGAGAGACAACAGATGGCCTTGTCTGCATGCAGAGCCCAAGGCCTGTGACCCTGCCTGCCGAGTCACAGGCCCTGCAGAAAACTCAGAGGGGTAGGTGGGTGGGCAGGCAGTGTCTGAGAAGCAGCTCCAGGACGTCTGTTTGGAGACGTTCATTGAAGGCAGGTTTCCCATCAATGGGTGCTGGCCTTGCCACAGGCATTTAACCTGTACAAGTTCGTTAAACCCCAAACACCCAGGAGGCACAGTGGGACGCGCAATGTAGAGCAAGGATCAAGGTGCTTGGGTTGTAGCGTGTGCCAAGGCGAGATGCAGAGCCAGCCATGACAAAATTCATCCCAAATCTTTGGAAATATGGTACTGGGCAGGCTGCACATTCCATCAGGGCCACGGCTCCACGGCTGACAGTGCAGTTTGGGGTATGAGCATGAGATATGTGGGCGCGTCACTAACATATCTATGTGGTCAGCGCTCACACAGCTGAGTGACTCAGCTCCCTTTGTAGTTAGCAGAATTCTACCATGAACCCAGACACAGGTCCCTATGTTCCTGTAACTATACCTCCAAATATGCCCTTCTTGACTGGTACACAGGGAAGAGTACGGCTTCCCATCAAGGTGGGGGGAGGCAGGAGCTGGCTCGAGGCCATAAGCTTGTGCAGGACAGTGGCCAACCCATGTTCACCCACTGAGGCCCTGGTACCTGGATGTCGTCAGTAGACTCCACCACAGGGAATCCATTGTGATTGGACGCTGTGTTGCTAAGTATATCCACAATGACGCCCACCTTTTCCCTCCTCCGCAGGCAAGTGACCGGTGTGCTCATCACCTCCCTGTGGAAGAGCGCACACCTCATCCACTGTTGGCCACACGGTGACTGGCCACATGACGACTGATCATATTGTGACCAATCACACGTGACAGACCATGAGGCCATGGCGTGGATTCCTGAACATTCTCTCTTTCTATCAAAGCTGAAGCTCAATAGACACAAAGCTGCCGGATGCAGGAAGCCTGGAGACGGGGACACAGGAAGCCCAGAGGCAGGGACACAGGAAGCCCAGAAGCTGCAGAGAGCAGGTGCAACCCTGGGAGAACCACCCTTGGGTGATACCTGCAGCCCTGATTCCCTGACAGCCTCCCAGAGGCTCAAACACGGGCATGCTGCCTCCTTCCTGCTGCTGGCCAGCCACACCCACTCTACCAGACTGTGGGCACCACTCGCTGCCCACCCCTAGCCTGGGAGAGGGGAGGAAGCTCTAGGCCCATAGGCCTTGAGCCTGAACCAAGACAGGGAGAAAGGCAATACCTGGCGGTAAGCGAGTGCGAGGTGACTGGGGCTTCCCAGTGCAGGAAGGGCACACTCTGCAGCTGGATGTGCATGTCGTACAGGCCCTAAGGAGGAGGCAGGAGTCATGCACAGTGCTGCCATGGGGGAGGGGTCCCTGGGTGCAACAACCGGCCACTAAGGGAGAGATCCAAGGAGTGCACTGTGCCTGCCACCGAGGGAGGGGTCCCTGGCAGACTGTGGAGGCAGAAACTGTTGGGGGAATGGCTTTCAGGGGCTCTCTACCCTCTGCTGCTGTTACAGACCCCTAGTCCCCACAGTCTCAGGCTCTAAGACCAGGTTATGGGGCTGGAGCCCAGAGGGAGGGTGAGGGACGGGCAGGCCTCCTCCTGCCAGGTGCACCTCGATGAAGACGTCTCCCACTATCTTGGCAGTCATCAGGACCAGCATGATGGGGAAGCCGTAGGTCACGTTGCTGGTGGCCTCCATCATGATAACTGTCAGGCTCAGCGTCATCCTCACAATCCCACCTGCCCAGGGAGGGAGAGGTAGGTTGGGGTGAGGTGGAGGTGGTCTGGAGCCTTTGCAGGCTGCTCTGCCCATCCCCTCCTTTCACCCTTGCCTATGTTCTCTGGGAAGAGCCCACACCTTGTCCATTCACCCCCAGTGGTCCCTTCCCCCACACCACACTAGGTGGGGACAGTGATGCTGCCCAGCTACACCTGTAGGGAGTGAGCAATGACACTAAAATGAATACCCAACCTTTGAGCTCAAGGAGGCATCTGCCTCTCCTGACCTTGGGATGCCCACATAGCAGACAAGACTCACCCAGCTGAGCAGCTGCTCCCATCAGGGCGTACTTGCCAGGGTCTGCCCAGATCTGCAGGAATGACACAGAGGTGATGTTGAGGGTGGCAACCCTCTACCCAAATCCACTAAGACGCACTGACAGCACCAAGAGGCCACCTGGGACCAGTAATTCCACATATAGGAGAATTTGTGGTTCCATGTGCAAAATGCTCTGCATCTCCTCAATAATAAAAGTCTGGAAATACCCAAGGAGCGGCCCACTCAGAGATGCCCTCAATGAACCATGAAGCCTGCATATGCCAGAAAACTCAGCAGCATGAGACAGGAGGACGCTCTCTGCATGCTGAGGAGGGAAGAGCTATGGGTGAATGCAGGGATGGAGGCTAGTATGTGTGCAGCAACCATCACCTGTGCAGAAATGCAAAAAGAAGTGAAAATCTAACAAGAGCTGCAACATAGATGAACCCTAAACACTGCACACGAGAAGTCAGATACAGACAGCCACAAGTGTGTGTAACTCCACTTATGAAACGTGCAGAACAGGCAAGTCCAGAGACAGAATGCAGATGGTTGCTGCCAAGAGCTGGGGAGGGGCATGGGAGTGAGTGCTGATAGGGACAGAATTCTTTTTGGTGTGAGCAGAATGTCCTGAACCTACATAGTGACAATGGTTATACACTCAACATACTAAAGAATCACTGAATTGTACCTTCAAGAGAGTGAATTCGTAGTATGTGAATCATATTGTGATTAAAAAACACAAAACACCACGTCTGGAAGGAAACCTGAGACCTGAGAAACGCCTGCCCCAAGTCTGGTGAGGGGAGTGGGGTCATGGGGCAGCTTGGGAAAGACTCGTCTGCCCCATTTAGTTTTTAAAAAATCTTATTTGAATGACTAAAATAAAAAAAGGGGGAAATACATAACATAAAAACCAAGCTATCCACGAAGGCCAGTAGGAGAAGGGAGGCCAGGAAAGTGGTCACGGTGGGGCAAGGCCTGTCACACATGTAGCTCAACATTGCCTCCCACAGCTGAGTGCCCACCTCAGGGCATCCCGTCAAACCTCCCAGTCACCTCTCACTGATAACCACTGAGCATCATTCCCCAACACTATCTCTGCAGACCACAAGCACGGAGAGCTACACTAATGGCACATTCCTATCAAACAGCGGTGCCAGAAAACTAAGGCTGAGTAAAATGATCAGAGGCTCCGATGCACCCACTGCCCGCACTGGGAACCCAGTACTCTTACCCACAGTGGCCCTGGAGCCAGGGCACCAGGACCGCCCCTTAACCTTCCAGCCTGGCTCTGGTCCACATGCTTGGTGTATGGAGACCCCCACTCACCGCAGCCCCAGTGAGGTAGGACAGCGAGATGCCGAAGAGCCGGCCCCAGGCAGCCCCGATGAGCAGGGACGGGATAAAGACACCAGCAGACACTGTCAGTCCATAGGTCCAGCAGGCCAAGAAAAAGTAGACAAGGGTGAAGAGGCCAAGGGTCATGGGGTTGTAGGAACCTAGAAGAGAGGGGCTGGCTAGAGCTTGCCATGCAAACTTGTGCCCAAGCAGGGCCACCCACCCAGCTGCACAGTCACCACCTCTGGGTCACATCCTGACACCCAGACACCCCAGTGGGCTCCCAGAAGTCTCTGCATTTTCAGAGGCCAGAGCTTAGGTTCTTGGAAGGTCGGTCCTCAGAGGTGAGTGGATGGCCACCTGCCCCAGGGGCAGAGGAAGCTAGGATAAGAGGGGCCACCAGTAGGATGGTGGCCTGAGGTTGGAGTGGATGGCCACCTGCCCCAGGGGCAGAGGAAGCCAGTAGGATGGTGGCCTGAGGTTCAGGGAAGGTACTTGTTATGTGTCAGAACAGGGAGCACTGATGTGCAGACCACTAAGGGTTGGGGGCAGGAGGCCACCAGCCACATTCCACACCAGATGACTTCCAGATGCAGGAAGAGGCCAATTAAACCCTGAATAAGCACGTTGGGAGGCTTTGCCCTACACTTGAAAGCTTTTCTTTTAAATTTTGTGTACTCTTGCCACATACATAGAGGTGGCCTTGTGACAGGAAACAATTAGAGACAACCTAAGGAGAACTCTAAGATGGGAAGAAGCGAGACGTCATGGAGCAGCTGCACGATGAATAATCTGTCTGGAACTATTCTGGCTTTCATATGAGAGAGGGAGAGAGGGAGGGAGAGAGGTGTTGCGACTGTGGGCCATGTGCTGCAGCGAGGTGAGGCTGGGGCCCGGAGAACATTGAGAATGATAAGGTTTTTCAGTGCGCACTGAAAAACATTAGACTGCATTCTGAGTCTGCTTTTACTAAAAACGTATGTGGCTCAGCGAGACCACGGTGCTGGTGTGTGTTACCAGCTCTGTCCTTTCAATGAGAGTGACTCATGAAAGCAGTGCCCAGAAGGAAAACTCATCCTGGAGATGAGTCTATGAATGAGGCAGAGATGCCCCGTGACTGTCCTCCAGGAAGGGAACGAGACATGTGGGGAGCCTGGCTAGCCCCTTCCAGGCAATTGCGCCAGCTGACTTCTGGGCTGCCAGCCCCTGTGCTCCAATGCTGGCGAGGGCAGTGACCTCTGCCCTCAGGCACACTTGTCCAGAAGGTGTCGCCCAGGCTCAGGCCTGTGTCTGTGGGTGGTTGCAGACCGGGCCATGGGGATGTGCATCCGATAGCACCAAGCATAGGCACGCACCTGGGGGGTCATGGAAAAGGCCGACCACGCTCTTCTCTGGGGTGTTGAAGAAGGCTGCAGCCATTGAGTTGTACTCGCCATCTGCACAGAAGAGCTGCAAGGTTGGGAGAGAATACAGGCCAGTGGGATGGGGTAGTCCTGGCCTGGACAGCATCAGGCACCAACCACAAGGCAGGATGGGATTGGGCTCCTGCCTCGGGGAAGGCAAGCTGCGTTTCTCAGGTCCATACCTACAGCCCCCAGTTCTGCAGTCCCTGTCAAGCCACTGCTCTGGGAAGAGGACTAGGGCAAGACTCCAGCCTGACAGAACACCAGCTCTCCTGGCCCCTAGCAGGCAACCTAACCCTCTGTGAAGCTCCAGCCTGCTCAGCCTGGAACTCTGCTGTGCCAGCAGCCCTCCCTCTGGGAGTGGGAACAAGTGTTCCTCAGAGGGCTCACCCTACTCCCCCGCCTGGTGGGCTGGCCTCCTACCTGGAGGGGGTAGGACACGGAGCTGCCCTGCAGGGGTTGGCAGTCCCGAGAGGAGTAGATCAGCACAAAGGCAACAGTGGCTGTGACGGCAGCTACCAGCATGGCCTCGATCACTTGGAGGCAAGGCCGATGGATGTACCTAGAGCAAACACTGGAATGGACCAGGCTGAGGGACACTTGAGCAGTTGCCATGGCAACCTAAGACTGTGACTCAGTGAGAGTCAATGATAGGACACTGATTAGGAGGATGACATAGCACATTTAATCATCAATCTACCCAGATTCCTGCACGTCCTCAGATTATCTCCTAGATACTCCCCAACTGCATTTAAGTTGGTATAAAGAGAACAAAAAGAAGCGCTTCCCCAAGCCCAGGACCCACCCCTCAAAAGCTCCAGTAATGACTCTCCTAATGGCAAAAAGAGCCAACTGTCCCCAAGGTCAAGATGGCCCTAGGCTGACCACGCTAAGGCTGGGAAGACCCTGACCTCAGGGCTGCTAGAGCCACAGGTGGTGCCTCCCCTGCGTAGTGGGCTACCCACCAGACCTCCCGTAGCCTAATCCTACTTGTCCCCTGGCCCTGTGGTCGTCTGTCCCCCGCATGTAGAAACCATTGGCACGTGGCATTCCACGTGGCTCTGTGGGCAAAGAGCCCACAATGAGTCCATTTTCAAAGGCCCTGGGGGCCACATCTGTCAACCCAGTCCACAAAAGAGGTTTCTCACCTAATTCGAAACATCGTCAGCCAGTAATTCAAGGCATTGAACACAGCCCCAAGCACACCACCTGTGACCAGGAAGGAGCCAAATGTAAGGGACTCGGAAGAGTGATGGAGGCTACCCAGGCAGCAAAGGGAAGAGGAGAGGACAGGAGGGGACAGGAGGGGTTGAAGACACCTGCTCTGTCACCGCATCCCGATGGACAGATGGGCTTATTTTTGAAAGGCTTTGCCTTCCTTTCAGGGAAAAGGTTTTCACAGAGTAACAGACGCTGTCCAGGGCCTAGTCTACTTCCTCGTGGGGTTTCCCAATGGAGAAGCAGCGTTCCGGTCTCCCTGACAGGTACCTCCCCTCCCCGGGTGGCCCTGGAACAGCAAACAGAGTGTGGGGGGTCACAGCCCTCTCTGGCTATTTCGAAGCTGGGCCAGGCCCGGAGTCTTGCAGGCCCTGTTCCCACTGGGAGGCACCAGCTGCTGTCTTTAGTGTGAAGGGTATTCATGGGGCCAGGCGGGTTGGTGTCCTGTGAGGGATGGCCCTTACCCACCACGCCCATGGCGATGAAGATGGGGATCTCGTGGATCGTGTACACCATTGTCTGTGCAAAGAGGGAGAGCGGATGTTCTGTGAGGAAAAGTGTCATCAGCTCTTTGCTGCTCAGACTCACGGACTGGACGTTATATATAATCTGCCCACATTCATGGGAACCTTCTAGCATTTTCCTACAGTGCAGTAGAGGTCCCACAGGAGACACACTGGGAATTGGGCAGACTGTGTGACTTCTCGCACAAGCTGGTCTGGGAGGTGCTCAGAGGCCCCGTAAGGCTTTATTTTTCTTTCACCTGCTCCTATCCAGGTGTTAGTCTACTTGAGAAGGTGGGGTGGCCTGAGCTTTTGTCAAAGGAGGAATCAAGAGGAGTAACGGAGAGCCCTAGAAACGCATCTAGTGACCTGGGTGACCCAAGAGCTCCACTGTGTCCATGTGTGTGGACATCCTGGGAGCCAGCTCCCCATGCAGTGTCTGGCAGTGGCAGCACGTGGTCCAGGCCTCCCTGTGGACGCTGGCCTGCACTTCCTTGCCCTCCATGAGCTGCTGCCTGAGCACCCCAGGCCCCATAGGTCTCAGTGGTGTTGTCCAACAGTCTGAGAACGACTGAGACAACCCTGAAGGTGGCCCCTGGGTGACAGGGCGTCCTAACCTGCACAGTCAGGTCAGATGTGCACTTCCCTAGAACACTGTAAACAAGAGCTCAATCTCACAGTGAAGAGATTGAGTTTTCCAGAAGCCCAAGTTCTCAGGCTAAATGCCCATGGCCCCGCACCAAGAAGAACCAGAAACAGTGAGGGGGACAATGCAATGTTACCTCCGTGTCAAATCTTCCAAAATTGATGAGGCCCGGGCTGGACAGGTCCCAGATGTTCCCATGGTAAATGCTTAGGACAAAGTTCAGGGTGAAGGTGGAAATCATGGAAGCAAAGAACTGTGGGCAGAGAAACAAGTGCCATCAGAACGACAGTGCCCACCCAAATGAACCTCCAGAGCTGGGGAGGGGGCTGCAGGAGGAGGGGCTGATTCCTCTCCTGTCATTCAGGGGGAACTTGGAGCCCCTCCAAGGCTGAAGAGAGCCAAAGCCTCGCAGGCTGGGCCCCTCAAGGTGAGTGTGGGGCCAAGTGAGTGTGGGGCCAAGCCAGTGATGAGCTGATGGAAGGAGGGTCTGGGGCTTCCCGAGGAAGAGGTGGAGGAGAACCAGGATAAGAACAACAGCCACGATGGACAGGGGAAGGGCAGGCAGCAAGAGGAGAGAACAGAGCTGGGCCACAACAACCCAAGGGACAGAGCTGGGGCATAACAAATACAGCTCGACAGGAACCTCAGGTGAGCACAGCAAAGTGGGCTCAGAGCGTGAGGCCATGGAGGCAGGCATGGGCGCTGCCTGTCCATGGGCACTTACGATTCTCCAGGTCAGGAACTGGTTCCAGAAGGATGCACCTTCCTCCAAGCTGAACAGGACCCCACCTAGAACAGCAGCAGCCCAGCCCTGAAGTTCTCATCCAGGCATGAGGAGCCCCAGGTGCAGGGAGCCCACGCCCATAGCCTCTCACACCCCAGATCCAGGGCACCAGGCCCATGTCGGAGTCAACCGTGGGGCCTCTCAGGAGACACCAGACAGCTTCACCCCTACCCAGCACTCGAGTCTGCAAACACCAAGAATATTCCTTCACATGGCAGGGACAGTCTGGCTTCCCCAACATAGGCAGTTACTCGTCAGACCAGGCAGGGCCCCTCCTCACCCACAGGAGCCCCAAATGCAGCAGACACTCCAGCTGCAGCTCCTGCTGAGACAAAGTCCCGCTTCTCCGTATCCCTGCGGAAGTACTCAAAGATCTAAAATGGGAACAGAACAGACAGGGACAGGGTCTTAACCAGCTTCTCCAAGGGCATTTCTCAGAAAAGAAGAAAGCTGGCTAGAGGCCACCGAGACAGGGGCCAAAGAGAGGTGGGTAGGGAGGGATGGTGAGGGGGAGATGGGAGGAGAAGGGAGTCTCTAGACAATTAACTCATCAACTACTGAGTTCACACAGATGGCAGAACTGAAGAGGCAACAAAACAGCAAGAACTTCCTCTCGTACCAACAACCACAAGAAAATAAAAAGATTCCATCACAACAAGAATTAAACTTTATGGTCTGTGCAACAAATACGTTAAAAAACTCAAAAGTCCACCAAAATATCTAACGAAAATGAATGAATGAAAAACTTAAATGTGTTCTTGATTTTAAAAGACTGTTCTGTAAATTCATATATAAACTCAATGCAATACCCATTAATATGCTGGTGGCTTTTTGGGGGAAACATGACAAAACTGTTCTGAAGTATATCTTAAAAATAAAGCATCTTTAATCTGTACACGTCGTTCCTGACCTCTTTCTAGGTCATACAGTTCTTTGAGAAGCTGTTCAGAGCTACAGGCCATTTCCATAGAATGCACATCCACATGAAAACGCCAAGAATCAGACTCTGAGCACACTCCTTGCTCAGGCCCCAGGAGAGCCCCCAGAACAGGACACTGTGGAAACCCCCAGATTTGATGTCAAGGACGGTCCCGGCAGGGCACGCCTATGCAGAACAGGAGGGACCCCTTTCCAAGAGACATTCACAGTCACTCTCATTATTGACATCTCCATCAGGAGAGGACTCACCTTGAAATCTCGCTTCAGAGACGTTGACCTCCCCTGGGAAACCCCAGCAGCGATCACAGAGCCCGAGTGAATCATTGGCCCCTCCTGCAAAGCACAGGACAGTTGCATCAAGCTCGGAGAGGACAGAGTGTAGAGGGACTCAAGCCAAGGCAGTGCTCCTCAGGCTCTGTTACCTTTCCCACGGCCAGTCCTCCCACCACAGACAGGATCACACCAGACACCTTGATCACCAGTGTCTGGAACACAAAGGAAAATATGTCAAGTCTCTGATTAAAGGTCACATGCAGTCTGAGAACCTGAGCAACAGCACTGCACGTGAAGTGATAATAACACAGGCAACCCAGCACCCATGAGCAACAATGAGGGCACGCGGAGGGGCCAGCACAGCTCTCCTCTTGAGGCCACTCTGCTCCCCAGTGTATCCACCACCTGCCCTGCTCCTGGGCTGCAAGACTCCAGGCCCCTAGGAGTACCCGTTCCCCAGACAGGGGCAGGAGAAAAGCCTCAGTGAACCTCAGGCTGAGGTGCCCTGACCAAAACACTGGAAATGGCCACGGGAGGAAACCTGACTTCCCAGCCCCCTCAGAACCAGTGTGCCATCTATGACATTAAACCTAATGAGTATTACGAAAAATTTCGACAAGTGGAAAAAGCTCACAGCAGGTCTCCCACTCCAACACAGGTACTCTCATGTTAGAATGTTAATCACGGTGCAGAACTTACAAACATGTTCCACAAAGCTGCGATCATAGCACAAACACCATTTAAGCATTTTTGTGTTATTTAAAATGTAAAAAGAAAGTTTTTTACCACTTTCCAAAGAAAACATACATAAAATCTTGCAGCACATCCATACACATGCTTGTCAGTGGCATACGAAATGGGTCTGGGTGAACTTTAGAGGTGCAGGTGGACAAACGAAGAGCTTCTAACCCAGCAAAGAATCCCCACGCTAAGCACTGTGCTCCCAGCCAAGGGTCACCTCACCTTGAGTCGGACCACGTGGGGGATCTTCACCCCATTGAGGAAGCACTTGATCTGGGGGATCCCACTGCCAGCAGCGACTGGCTGAGAGGAGACAGAGGTGAACATTGAGTTGGCCAAGCTGAGTGAACTGACACAGCCAGCGGACCCAGGGAGACTCAGCCTCGGGGTTCCCAGGATGCAGGGTGGCAGGGTAGGGATGACAACGACATGAGACGGGAAGGGACAGCCACCAGGGAAGGGGCTTCCCACATCTCCCCACCCCAGATGCAGAGCCACCACTGAGAGGTACAGATGCTGTGGGATGTGGGAGGGGGTTGGAAGTGGAGACTGAAGGAGGCAGGGTGGGGAGGCTCCAGGATGGACGGAAGGCATACCTCATGCACCTGCTAAGAGGGGCCAGAGCTCTTTGCACCCACCCTCTAGGGGGATACCACACTGTACTCCAGACAGAAGCTTCTGGATGCTGCCCCCTCTTCCTTCAACACCCCATGACATAGGAGGAGCAAAGAGGCAGGCCATAGGACAGGCTTCTAGGAGAAGTCCCAGAATGAACAGACACCCTAGGAAAGTCCGATCCTGTCAAGCGGTCTCCTCCACCTGGACCTCTGGGCTGGGTTGGCCCTGCTCCTGTGGCTCTGCACGACCTGGGCACCCTCTAGGCATGGGTGGTGTGCTCCCCCAAGTCCTTGCTGTGTGGGGCAGGCATGGGCCAGGCTCGGGGCCTGTGTGGGTGGGTGAGGGGCAACACCTCTAGGGTAGGGGATGAAGAGGCCCAGGTGCATCTTCTGTTATGACTGAACTGTTCAGCATGAACACTGCTGTGACCATGCGAACCACCTGGCAGAAGATGCGGTGGGTGAGCTGAAGGGGCTCCCACCATTCAGGGCTCCCACCATTCAGGGTTCCCTTGAAGCCATACCTCTATGAAGGCAACGATCATTGAGCCGACCAGCACAAACGCGGAGTTCAGCGTGGCCCACAGCAGGAGGGAGAAGGACAGCCCCCCCTTCTCCGTGAACTTGTCGATATCTGGGCTCATCAAGGAAGACTGCTGGCTCCACCATCAGATGTGCCACATCCCCAGCCTGCCACAACCCTGGTATAAGCATGCCCTGAGCACACGAGAAGGAGGGGTGGCCCACACGTGACCTGCACATCTCAGAAACTTTTGACAACCCAGGTGACAGGGATGCCATCTGCCTAGTGTCAGTTACGCCAGCTGGAGGGCAAACACCCAAACCCAGGGACATCTCCTGCTAGGCCCACTCTGTGCTGCATGGCCACTCGTGAGACTTCATCATGGGACCCTCTGTTTTGATCTGAGCCCTATCCTGTCTGTGCTGGGCACCTTCAGACAAGGATACTGTCTTTGACAACCTTATATTTCAGGCCAGCCAAGTTCTCTACCATGATGTCAATGAAGCAGGCTACAAGCCCTGTGAGGATGCCGATCATGGCGCAGATGACCCAGCGTTTGATCTCCACTGTCCGGAAGGCCTGCGGGGGAGACACGACTCAGAGGTGAGTACACTGTGAGACACAAGACATAGGCTACTCTGGAGACAGTATGCCTGACTCTAGAATTCTGCAGGTTTCCATAATGCATAGCTTGCTGCACTCCACATCCCCAAGTCAGTGATGGCAGCCTTTGGTCAACATCTGAGAGACAATAGAGCATCGGGGTTGGGGGGGATGTGGACCTTCCCAACCAATCCATAATCCGTTGTTGACATTTTGGTCACTGCAACTGGTATCTCTACGAACAGCCTTCTTTGTTGTATCTGGGATGTAACACACAAACCCTTTCCTCTATCAGGCATTGGGTGTCTCTTGCTCCAGGATACAAACCAGAACCTGAGGCATGAGGACTGAGGACAGGAGGAAGATGGAAGGGGACATATCACCTCACCCAGGTGGAAAAGCAGCACCAGACTAGCCCCTGGGTCACCAGGGCAGTGTCCAGGCTGCCTGGCCCCAAACTCACCATGTGGTTGATACGCCTCTCCTCCTCCAGGAACAGCTGGTTCTCACTGTTGTCATAGTCCAAGCTCTGCAGACCAGGGTGGCACAGACAACACAATGACCAAACCATGTCCCAGATTCATGTCGGGCAGCAGGTGGGGGCAGGGCTGGAGAGGGGATAAAGTGCCCGGGGCTGTGTGGGGCAGGGGCACCCAGCAAGGAGGCCCACCTCATATTTGAGGGACAAGAGCTTCTCGTTGTGTGGGATCTCCTTGGGGAAAGGGTGAGGCGGGTCCACCTCCTGAAAAAGAAGAAGCAGAGCCACAAACTGACAATCTAGCACACCGAAGAACAAAGTACAAACGAGGAGAGGATGGTGCATGTGCCCATTTGTCTCAAGAGGTCACTACTGTCCTGACCCCAAAGCCAGATAAGGATACCACAAGAAAGGGAAATCATTAGACCTATACCCCTTGTGAACACAAACACAAAGTTCTCGACAAGAGGCCAGTGGGTTGCATCCTGCAACACCACCCAGGAATGTAAGAGTGGTTTAATATCTAAAAGACAATTACTGTAGGATGTCTGTGGTACGATGGGGAATATATTATTGGGCTTTGTACCAGTTCCCGGCACCTGGCTCATAAAACCCTGGGCATCTCTGAGTGATGAGTGTCTTTCGTGAGCTAATAAGATAGAAAGGGTGGCTGCAAGCCTCTAGGCTTCGGGATGGGGCCTGGTCCCCAGAGAGACCAAGGCGTGATTGGAGGGTTGGAACTTTCAGTCCCAACCTTTATGGAGGGGGAAGGGCTGGAGACTGAGCTAATCTCCAATGACCAGTGACTTAATCGATCATGCCTGTATAACAGAACCTCCATAAAAACAAAAACTCTAAATGAGAGGGTTCAGAGAGCTTCTGGGTTGGCGAACACGTGGAGGTGCCAGGAGGGTGGCGCTCCTGGAGAAGGCAGGGAAGCTCCACGCCCTTCCCACACGTTCCCTGTGCATCATTTCCATCAGCAGTTCCTGAGTCGTACCCTTTATAATGAACCAGTAAACAGAAGCAAAGTGTTTCCCTGAGTTCTGTGAGTCCTTCTAGTAAATTATGAAACCCAAGGAGGGAGTCGGTCAAAGGAACGCTAATTTATAGCTGGTCAGTCATAAGCACAGGTGACAATCTGGAATTGGGACTGGGGTATGAAGTTGGAGTGGTCTTGTGAGACTGAGCCCTTAGCCTGTGGGGCCTGTTCTAATGTCATGCAGTTAGTATCAGAATGAACTGACTTGTAGGACACTCAGGGGATATCTAGAGAAACAGAGAATTAGCTGGTGTAAGAAAAACCCCACACATTTGACGTCAGAAGTGTTGTGAGTAAAAACAATTTAATGACAGTTCAATAGAATAAAAGACAAAATACACACGATCATTTCAAGAGACACAGAAAAAACATCTGACAGTATTCAACTCTCTTCGTAATATAAACACTCGACAACTGGGAATGGAGGGAACTTCAACCTGATGAAGGTATTTATCAAAAACCCACAGGTAACATCATACTCATTGGTGAAAGATTAAGCTTTGCCCCTAAGATCAGGAACAAGACAAGGATACCTGCTCTTGCCACTGCTATTCAGCATTGTCCTAGAGGTTCTACCAAGGCAATTAGGCAAGAAAATGTAAAAATTAATAGTGCGCTCAGTAAGCCTGAAGGATACAAAATTGGTATACAAAAATCAAATGTAGTCTACGGCCAAGCCACTGTGAACAAGCCCGATCCTGTCTGATCCCAGAAGCTAAGCAGGGTCGGGCCTGGTTAGTACTTGGATGGGAGACCACGTAGAAAGACCAGGTGCTGGAGATGTAAAAAACAAAAAATAAGGGATTATAAGCTGACAAGGTCCTTACAATCTGTGAGGTCAACCAAGGGTTGCCCCCTCACCCCCACACACAAATCAAATGTATTCTATGCAATGGTAATGAACAATCTGAAATGGTCCTTTCAATCTGTGAAGTCAACCAAGGGTTGCCCCCTCCCCCCCCACACACAAATAAAATGTATTCTATGCAATGGTAATGAACGATAGGAAAGAAAATTAAAAACATAATTCTATAATAGCATCAAAAATAAAATATATAAAATAAAATTCATTCCTAAAATATGTTTAACAAAAACGTAAGACTTGTACACTGAAAACGATAAAACATTGTTGAAAAGAACTGAGGATCTTAATAGATGGAAAGACATCCTGTGTTCATGAAAGACTTTATATTAAGATTTGACGCAATCCTTGTCTAGATTCCAGCTGGTGTCTTTGAAGAAACTGACAAGCTAGCTGATCCTAAAATCCATATGGAAATACAAAGGATTCTGAAGAGCCAGAACAAGCTTGAAAAAGAACGAAGTTAGAGGATTCAAACTTCTTGATTTCAAAACTGACTACAAAGCTACAATTGTCAAGACAGAGTGGCACTGGCTCAAGGACAGACACAAAGATTGATGGCAGACAAGCGAGTCAGAAATAAACTCTCACATTTATGGCCAACTGACTTTGACAAGGATGACAAGAAAATTCAAAAGGGAAAGCATAGGCTTTTCACAAAATGGTGCTAGGAAAACTGGACATCCAAGTGCAATTTATGAAGTTGGAGCCCAATCTTAAACCATACCTAAAACTAGTGAGAAACAGGTCAAGATCTAAAACTAGAGAAGTCTTAGAAGAAAACAGTAAGTCTTTATGATCTTAGATTAGGCAATGGTTCGTTGAATATGACACCAAGAGCACATCAAAAGAAAGATGAACTGGATTTCATCAAAAAAAAAAGCTTTTCTGTTTCACAGGACATTGTCAGAAAGTGAGAAGAAACCCACAGAACAGGATAAAGTTTCTGCGAGTCATGTATTTGGCGAGAAAATTTATGTGTAGGATACATAAAGAACTCTTATGGCTCAATTTAAAAAAAAACCTGATTAAAAAATGGGCACAGGATCTGAATAGACATTTTCCTAAAGAAAATAAAAAAAGCTTTTCTGTTTCACAGGACATTGTCAGAAAGTGAGAAGAAACCCACAGAACAGGATAAAGTTTCTGCGAGTCATGTATTTGGCAAGAAAATTTATGTGTAGGATACATAAAGAACTCTTATGGCTCAATTTAAAAAAAAACCTGATTAAAAAATGGGCACAGGATCTGAACAGACATTTTTCTAAAGAAAACATACAAATGGGCTTCGGCACATGAAAGATGCTCAACATCACTGGCTACTAGAGAAATAAAAATCAGAACTATAAGATACCTGAGAAGGAAGTCAAATGAAAGTTTGGGGGGATGGGCTCAGGAAATGTTCCACTGGCAGCTGCTGAAGAGTCCAGGCCCGACACAGGAGCAGAAGAGGACGTCACCACCGTCCAGCCCCACCCCACCTTAGATGCTTACTCTGCCTTCAGGGCCCTCCTCCTGTACCTACACACAGCATGCTAACTCCATGTTCCACACCTGACATATACTTCCCCCATCTCTGCTCATCTGGCTCGGCCTCAGGGAACATGGCCTTCGGAACGGTCTTCTCTGGTCAGTCAGGCTTTGAAGGCCCCGCCACCTGCTCCTCACTGTCTCTGAGCTCTGTACAATCTCCGAGCTCTGCATAACCCTGCCTACATCTGTCGCTGTTCCCTGTACAGAACTGTCTACATCTGCCCCCAAGCTCTACGCAGAATTGCTCACGTCTGTTCCGGAGCCCAAACAGCCATCCCTACATCTGCCATCCTCTGGTTTGGTGTTTACTGTCTGCCCTCTGCTGGGCGGCAACTCCACAGAACAGGCCTCGTCCTGCTTGGAGATGAATAAGAATGACGCCCACTCACCGGGTCCAGAAGCTCATCATCCAGCTCCACGTTGCTCATCTGTCCAATCCGGAAAGATGCCGAATGGGGCGACTAGAAGAAGAGAAATGACACGGCACTTAGCCGCGGGGCCAAACTGCACTGGGCATCACCGCCCCATCCACATGGCTTGGCCTCATCTGGTCCTGCCGGGGGAGCACAGACCCACACCTACAATGTAGGGAACGCCAACTGGGCCAGCGCTGGACCCAGGCCTGCCCCTACCACCCACAGCCTGTCACCAAGAAGTCTCACCTTCAGATGGGAAGCCCAGGCCGCTCCTACCCCAGACACCCCGCCTTCCCTTGTTCTAGGGTACTTCAGACTGGAGATTAGAAACCTGCCAGTCACCAGAACCCAGGGCTGCAGAAGACCATGCTGGCAACCTCCTGGCCCCCGACTCCTGGCCTAGAAAACCCTGGAGGTGGCCAGGAGCTGGCTGTAGCCCTCACTTCCCAGACAGGACATATGTGATCTGAAAGCATGCGCTGGCTGCAAGCCCCACCACAGCAACACCGAATACACTTCCCTTGGGGATATGTCCACACATGCAGACAAGTCAGGGATATGGACAAACCCATCTGAGCAACACCCAGGCAGCACTGAGAGTCAGATTGTGAAAGGAAAAGGGGAACACTGATATTGCCAACTGACCTGATGGATAGAGCCCACAGAAAAAGGCAGTCTGGTTATTTTTATCTTATTTATCGCTGATCCTGAAAGCAGCTCAATTACAGCAGGCACTCATTCCCACCGAATCAAGACGGCTCAGAGTTGGACCCTACAAAACATTTCCTTTGACATCTGAACGGCTTCTAGTTCTAAAGACTAACTTTAAGCAAACAATAATCAGTCAGGGTCTACAGGAAGAACTAAGGCTTATGGAAGTTCTCACACTCTATGTAATCATGAGAACTGGCTCCTAAACGTGAGAACCCTACAGAAAGAACTCTGTTTATAATAAACCTCTATAGTTTTAACTTCCTCTTCCCCTTTCTTCCTTTTCCCTTCTATAAATACCCATCCATTTTGGCATGCAGGCCAGAGTGTGCACATAGCTTGCCATGTCTGCATGCAGTGGGTTGCAAACCTTTTTCCCAAATAAATTTTTGGTGATGAAACACCTAGTCAATATCATTTTTCAGTCAACACTGGGGGCCAGGCTGTGATCTCCCATATGGCCTCAGGAGAGGAGGAGCAGGACTCACTTGTTCAGGTGATAAGAGGTCCTCAGCAACTGGCCACGAGGACACCAGTTGAACATAGCAGTCAGGAGGGAAAGGCTGATGAGTGGGAGGGGTTGGGCCCTCTCCCTTCTCCACACCTTCATGTTTCCATCATCTCTTTTCTGAACTTTATGGGCATTTTTTAGGAACTATCTTTTGTGATGAAAAAAGCCATTTACTTGAAGTTTAGCGATTGAGTGTTATGTGTTTCTTTCTCTTTTCTTAAACACAAGTGAAATTAGATACTTGTTCCTGGAACTACTGATATTCACAACAATCTGGCTGAAATCTCCCAGGGCAGGATGCTGAGTGAAAGCAGCCAACTTCAAAGATTTATGTACTGTGTGGTTCTACTAACCTGACATTCTTGGAATGTCAGGTGTGGAGAGATGAAGACATCAGTGGGGGGAAGGGGTGTGACTGTAAGAGTAGGACAAAGGGATCTTTGTGGTAATGGGCATGCTGTGTATCTTGACTGCAGTGGTGCTCACACAGGTCCGCACGCGCGACGTTAGCAGCAAAGAACCGCACACATGCACTGTGCTGATGTCAATGCCTGGTTTCCGCACTGCACTATTATTACATAAGATGGAACCACTGGAAGAAACTGGGGAAAAGTACACAGGCCTTCTCTGTACTGTCTTTTCAATTTCCTGTAAATCTATAATTTAAAAAATTTTTTAAATTTATATGCAAACGGGACTTTATTAAACTGAAAAACTTCTGTGCATCAAAGGAAACAATTAACAAAGTGAAAAGGCAACCTATAAAATGAGGGAAAATATTTACAAATCATAGATTTCACAAAGAGTTAATATCCAGGATATATAAAGAATATATACAACTCAATAGCAGCAGCAGCAATGACAAAAACTACCTGATTAAAAGATGGGCAAAGAACCCAAATAAAGATTTCTCTAAAGAAGACATACAAATGCCCAATAAGCACATGAAAACATGTTCAATATCACTAATCATTAAGGAAATGTAAATAAAAACTACAATACCATCTCACACCTGTGAGGATAGCCGGAATTAAAGAACAGAGAGTAACAAGAGTTGGTGAGGATGTGAAGCTGGAACCCTGTGCATTGTGGGTATGAATGTAAAATGGTGCAAGCGCTATGGAAAACAGTATGGAAGTTCCTCAAAAAGTTCTTAAAAATGGAACTATCGTATGACCCAGCAATTCCACCTCTGGGTATATATATACCCAAAAGAATTGAAAGGAGGGTCTCGAAGAGATATTTCTATACTCATGGTAGCTTTATTCACAATAGCTAAAATGTTTCAGCAACTCAAATGTTCACTGATGATGAATAGATAAACCAGATGGGTATATACATACAATGAAATATTTCTAAGCCTTGAAAAGGAAGGAAATCTTGTAATATGCTACGACATGGATGGACCTTAATGACATTATAGTAAGAGAAAGTAGCCAGTCACAAAAAAAACAAACACTGTATGATTTCACTTACATAAAGTCCCTGGAACAGTCAAATTCATAGAGACAGACAGTAGAATGGTGGGTGCCAGGGGCTGGGAGAAGGGACAGTTAGTGTTTCATGGGCCTGGTTTCAGTTTTGCAAGACAAAAAGAGTTCTGGGGGTGGATGGTGGTGATGGTTACACAACAATGTTAACGTTTTCAACACCACTGAGCTGTACACTTAAAAATAGTTAAGATGGCAAATTCTGTTATGTTTTTACAATTAAAACAAATTTTAAAAACAACTTAAAGGTTGTTTGCTGTCCTACTCTGCTGCTCTGCATTCTAACATCCACCAGGCTCCATGCTTACCACTGAGGACACAAGGCTGCCACGGTTAGGGACTCACAAAGAAAACGTTGCCCATA